CGTTTTCAGGGCCCATGTGAGACGTATTTTAGTGGTGGCGGGATTGGGTGCGCCCTGTGAACTTGCCTTTACATGTGGAGACCTCAGCTGTGAGGTGATTGAACTCGGAGTAAGCGCAATGGCGCAACATGGTCAGGGATATAAATGTTACGCCGCTGGTTATTTGTTGTGGTTGTTGTTTGGTTTGCCCACGGCGACTCGTGGGAATGGTTTTGGGAAACGTTGCTCCCAATTTGAGGTCAAAGACAGTGACTTGAAACATTGTGACAATTTCTGCTTGTCACTAAAAATATCAGATTCATTCTGCTGCATAAACGACACACAAAGACATGTAACTCTAATTCCCGTCATCTAGCCCATCTTGAGTCTAACTATATTCTCTTTCCCTTCTCTGCGCCAAATTCGCTTCGCATTTACCGACACTGTTCAGCATTTTTCAGTTCTAGTGTCACAAAGGCCATCACCACCGACTGCCGCTGCCACCCTACACCATTTCCGCTAAGAAAGAGTTTACCGTCGGTCTCCGTTCGGCACAATGCGAGTCGCTGTGTGCGGCCGACCTCCCAGGCGGCGCGTTTGCTTGCGCAAAAGCGCAGGTTTGTTTTGAGGACAGCGCTCTGATCGGAGTCGTTTGTAAATACGTGCCCAGATGGGCCCGTGCAGAGCTCTGGCACCGGCGCGACGCTGCGATGGTAGGTGTGTTGGGATGAAAGAGACGGGGAAACGGGACTATATAATGTGCACAGATTATACAGATATGAGATATGTAATATGCATTGCAATTGGGCGCTAATGTGTTACGTTCTTGTTCTGTTTGTAAGACAGTCAAGCTTTGCGGAAACGTAGCATAATAAACATATATTTGTATTAAGAAGCTACGTTTCAGTGGAAAATTTACACAATTTTACATTCATGACACGCCCTTCCGCACTGCTATCCCGGTCCAAATTATCAGCCAAACTGAAACATCCAAATAAAATTAATCAAAAACTTACTGAAGTAATCTAATACGCCACATCGCTGTCTCTCACCACTGATATTCACAAGCCACCACCCGGATCTCCAATTCACAGGATCTAGTTTTCCAGAGAGCCGATTGACCCCTCTACGTACCCACAGATCGTATCCCGGTTACGACGCGTCCGTTAACCAGCGAACCTGATTCAAACTGACGAATGTTATCCAGAGAGAAAGTCATTTCGGGGCGGGAGTTTATGCTTGTCCCGGCGGAAACTAGCGCTAGACTGGCGGTGGAGCCACGTCGATGTCTAAACTGGGCGGCGAATTGACGGCAACTAAAAACGGACGTGACATCGTCCGAGCGCCCGGACAAATTTGTGTCAAGTTGGGCAGGAAATCGGCGCTTAGATCAAGAAAGTTTGTAAACTATGTTCGCGCTTGAGCGTTGGGAATTTCGCTTTACTGGCGACTTGGTCCAGTGAGGCGAAACTGTGTTTGGTTTGACTAGGAAACACAAAACTTTATTCTCGGGATATTAATCATGAATAAAAGTTGTATTCATGTAGAATGTATGAAAACATTTATCGCTTGTCTTTTCAGGTCTGCATGATGTTAGGAAATGAAGCGATTCCGCCATCCTTTTAGGTGCCACACGATTCACTGAACAATGTAGCACGTGCTAATTATCCAGTGATCATTTTGTAACCGAAAGTCACCGTACCTATGTACCTGACCTTATGTGGTACTTCCATCAGCATGGTGACCATTGTCCATGCTTTACGCAAGCCAGAGTAAAAATTGGACTCGGTACGCAATGCGAGAAACATCTGCGCGTTATTCTGCGTAGCACGCACGCTCCTAACGCACGCCCTCGGGTCATTAGTGAATCTACCGCGTGCCCCGCATCCTAACGTCTCTCCGCTAGCGAGGCGGGGCCGAACCGCCGAGAGCGCAACATCCATCGCCCCCACAGAAACGACATCTTCCTTCCTCTCTTCTGCGCACCCTCATCGGCCTCCTCTCATCGATGTTCCCTGGGGGAGGGACTTCCCCACCGCATGGGGTCACCGCGGACGACAGAGACCCCCTCTCCTGACCCCTCCCCCGACCATCGGTGATCGTCCACCCCGATAGAGCAAAAGAGGAGACGGTGGCCCACCGACCGCACCAGCTGCCAAACGACATCCATTATTTCTTGTTCTGCCGCCGCTGGCTAGCGTTCCCTCCAATGGTGCTGAGCTGACCGACGAAGACGGAACAATCGATTAGCGACCCAAACGGCACATCCAATTGAGTCGACTTTTGCGTGACAGGCCTATGGCCGTACGACCGTATGGACAGTGACCAGGAAGTGTCTGCGAGGTCGGCTGAACTTCCCAGGGACTCGGGGAGTTTCACTGGGGAGGAAGGAAAGGGAGGGAGGGGGAGGGCTCTTCACTGGGGCCGCTAAGGAGGAGGAGGACTTAGTAATGAAGCCACTCGAGTCGCGAGAAATGTGGTTCGTGGCTGAACTTTCGCGGTTGATGCAAAATGAATGACTTCTCAAAAGAGCTTTTTTGTTAGATTTCAATGCGCACAAAACACTGCTTGATCACGACCATGATTTATTTATGATCAATCACATACTGCTACAGGAATAGGACGACAAATAGGACATTACAATTCCTTATCAGCATGAAGCATTGTGTGTGTCTCGTCTAATGTTAGCGGTAGCGTCAGTTTTGTTTGACGTGCGTTCTCTTGTACACAGATAGAACCTTGTCAGAAATAAAATGCAGAGCTGCCTTGTAGTTTAGGGCAGCTGCCGGACATTGGTCACGTGACCACATTTTCCGTGTGACCTTGAGTTGGCACCAGATTTTGTCGACAGACGTGGCGCAGCTTATTTTACTGCATTATTTTAGATACTAAATATTTAGACGCATGGTGGTAAATGATACCGTGCAAATAATATTGAATCATCGGTGACATAGTTACCATTGATACTTGAATAGCATCAATAAAATGCAATTAATGTATTATTACTCTTCCATTGATTTTATTGTGTTTGCAGGCATAGGTAGAAACTGAAGAGCTGAGCCTGCAGCTTACAGTTGTTCTATACAGTAGCGGCGGAACACCTTCAATAGGGGGGGGGGGGGCACTGCCGACTTTCGGTCCGATTCTTTCCATGCAACGCCCATAGGGCTAATGTTTAAATGCCAAAATTATAGGGGGCACGGTGACCCGGTGCCCTCCCCGTTCCGCCGCCTATGGTTTTATAACTGTTAATGCATAAATCAATGCTACTGAGGGCTGCAAATTTGTTTCACTTATCTTTAATAACTGATGCCCTACCTTCATCTACCATTATCTGTAAGAATCTTGCATCAATCATCACCAGACTTCTTAGTTTTTTTTTACATACCTACGCCCCCGCCGCGAGAGTGGGCGGGTACGACTCCCTCGCCCTAATTGAGCTAGCCTCGCGGGAAAAACAAGCATGTGTGCCGTTACGGGACCGGGGACGCAGCGATTGATGCACGGTTTAAAAGTCTCAGGTCAACTGGTGGCCTCTGAGGGTCAGGTCAAGTGCCCCGAGGGCCAAAATACGATTTTGGGTTTTGAAAAATAACTTTGCCGAAAAAAAACGGCGCAGAGTCGCGATTTTAGTACCATCATGTTTGTCATGCTCCGGTGCGTCAAAATGGTACACTTTTGTTTGGGTGGGTCAACATAAGGTGCTCACATCGGGTCAAAGTCAGGTCAGAGGCACTCAGGTCACGAACTTGGTCGGAGGAGGTCATATCGTATATCATTCGATTCGGTAGGTCTTCCCGAGTCTATTGGCGACTTTTCCGACTTGCCAGTTCAATTTTGTCAGGAGTTATTGACGAAAAAACTTGTGACCTTTGTGGTTAAAGATGCAAAAGTGAAGCATTGGACATTGCAAGAATTGCATGAAATTGCGATTCCATGTGCTTGAGCTAGGTTTAGATCATTCTCGGCGTCAAAATTACAGTTTCCATATTTTCCCCATTGACTTGTAATGGTGACGTCACGCGATCGGCCTGACCTCATGTGACCTCGAGGAGAAATCCGAGATATACAAGTTTTGAGACTCCTAGAGGATACTAGGTCCTGTAAGTATCATCTCGCTGTGACAGCTCCTCTGGCACCGAGGGCATTGCGAAGTTTCGGTGTTTTGGAACTATTGCAGAGGTTCACGTGTGACGTCATAAGTCAGTGATCTGACCTGAGACGGAAATGCAATTGGTTTCCAAAGATGCGTATGGAAGCAAAGATAAGGTGTGCCAAATAGCAGCCCTCTACCTGTAAGGTGTTTTGAGCTATCGCCAAAAGTCGTGAGTGGAGCGCTACTGACTCTCCGGTCGGCCGCCGGGGGTTAGGAGGCGTGCAGGGTATCGGAAAACCACCTGGTACTTTGCGAATTTTGCCGATAAAAATATGTTTCTTATGCCGACTTATAGCCAAAAGACTACTGAATCTCAAACCAGTCGTATCCTTGCACTAAATGGCTTGGTTTAGACACGATAGGTCTGAAAAGAAAAGGTCCCATGTATTCTCTATGGGCGCCGCGAGGCCGTTGGCACCAGAGTTTCGGGAAGTGCCCTCGCCACAACCGCACGTGCAGATTTGGTCACGTGACCAAGCGCATTTGCCGCCACTGTATTTATATACACTGTGGTTTAGGGTACCTACAAACCAATTACTGACGTGTGCTGTCCTCTTTTACAGATGCAGACTCTGGAGACTGGATAGACTAAAAGAATGCAGTTTTTGCTTTTTCCTGTTTCCTGTTTCTGTTTCATGTTACTGTTTCCCGTTATTACGGCGTAATCTCAGTCATTATCTTTTTCAGATGGAGACTCTGGCTAGACGAATGCAGAGGGGCTGTCTCCCGTTATTACGGCGTAAGCTCAGTCACTGACATATGATCTTTTTCAGATGGAGACTCTGGTCAGACGAATGCAGAGGGGCTGTCTCCTGTTATTACGGCGTTCCTAAGGGCTTAGTCATTGACGCATGATCTTTTTCAGATGGAGACTCTGGTCAGACGAATGCAGAGCGCTGATGCCGGCGTGCCGGTGAGATGTCAGAAGCTCTTTTTGACCACCATCCCATCGGCCTTTATGGGTGAGTCAATGTACATCTCTAAGCATCTGACCTGGTGATTTAATTCACCTTTTTAAACAGCCTGCGGGGTCCATATATCTGGCTATCAAACAAAATATACGGCTGGAGTTTATCAACAAAATATACGGCGCACTAGATATTAAGACGAATTTTTGTGAGTTGCATGAGTAGGAACTGTTTATGATGCCCAGTTCTAAAATCGCATGGAGGTTTGTGAACTTCATATTGGTCTGCAGTTTGCTTGACATTCGTTTGTCTTTCTTACTAACAAGGACACCGTCTTTCCATGGAAACTATTAGTATTGACATGTGTCAGCTATTTTTAGTTATAACAATGTAGGCTGGCTCAACGGTGCTAAAGAAACCTGTAGATGATGCAACTGGTTAGGTTGGCGCAGAAATGGTCTCAATAAAACGACAGCAACAATGGGCAGTGGGCTCGATACTCTGGTCAACTTGCCAACTATTTTTGGCTCCTTCTGGGGCTGTCTTTCAAAGCTAGCTCATTCACATTCCAGTTGCCATTGACAGAAATGTTAAGAGAGTCATCTAGTGCCTCTTTTCCGTTATCACTATCATTACCATATCTCAACGTATCACAATTATATCTCAAGGTAAGTACAGGTTGTTTGAAAGTCAGACTATTCGTTAGCATTGTGTTTTCTATTGTGTTTTCTATTGAAAAACAACCGGAGCAGTTTGAAGTTGGGGTATCTCAAGGTACGCATAAGTCAGTGGCGAGTGCCCTTATGCTAACCGATCGCAGGTTACGCAGGCATTCAATTTTACAGCTCACAGTCGTGGCTAGTGGTAGTTATTCGCGCATATCGTCAATAAACTTTGGATTTCCCATGAAAACGGTGACTTATGGTAAATGCTCCAAAATTGTTCTCCAATAGTTATCACTAATCAGCGCCGATATGCCAGGAATGAATACCTAACTCGTAGTTGAACGCTTGTAAGCCTCTGTTTTGTATGCGAGGATAGTTCGATTGGTTATGTGAATAGTTATGAAGATTTGGGAATAAATGTGTTTTCGTGTTGCAGGGTACGACCTCATCGAATGGCTGATGGAGAATCTTCCCATAGACGACTCTGGTAAGTACTGACAAATATTATATTTATACAATAGATACGAGCGCCTACATATCTTACATTTTCGGAAGCACTTGGTTAGGTTCCTTGCCGATAAGTTCCTTGTTTGCTATATTCGCCTTGCATCAATAGACATAAGTCTTTATGCGATGTCGGCACACATATCATCCAATAGTTGTATGTATCTTTCATCAAGATTATAAGCACGTTGAGTTTCAAAAGCTGAATTGAATAGAAACCAACCGGATGAGAGATTCGTGGTACAAGGAGAAATATTTGCAATGATGTTTCAATCGCTGACACATTTTTTTCCATGCTTTCTTATTTTTATCGAGCTATTGGCGTTACCGTGGAAACGTTTAAAAATATTGTCTTTTCATCCTTATTCTTTATTATTCGGTACTCCAAATGAAGCTTTTGCTCGCCCCCATAAAGTCGGAGACTGCCCTGACCACATCTTCTTTGCGTCACCATCGTTGCAACCGCGCACCGGAAGGCACTGTTTCCACCGGCAATGGTCATTTCCGGCAGACTTCCGGTATCCATATCCCCCCGCTCGTCTTTTGTCGCACACCCTCGGCGGCCCTCCCCTCCTCTCCTCTCTCTCTCTCTCTCTCTCTCTCTCTCTCTCTCTCTCTCTCTCTCTCTCTCTCTCTCTCTCTCTCTCTCTCTCTCTCTCTCTCTCCTCTCCCTATGTCTCTGTCTCCGTCTGCCTGACTCCCCCTCTCCCCTCTCTCTTTTCTCTTAGTGTCCGTTTGACTGTCTGTCTGTGTCCCTTTCTCCCCTATCTCTTTCTCCCTCTCTCCTCCCTCTCTCTCTCTCTCTCTCTCTCTCTCTCTCTCTCTCTCTCTCTCTCTCTCGGTACCCCGCCGTGATGACCTCTCTCCCCTCTGCTGGTGGGTGTGTCTCGGTCGCTGCCTATGGGTCCCATATCGAGCGGTGCAGCGTGCCTGGTGACGCCGCGGGCTAGAAGATAAGACATATTTTCGTGGCAGAAAGGGAGATTGGTGGAAAAGAGAGAGATTGGGAGGGAGGAGGGTGAAAAGAAGGAGAGAAATGAGGGCAGAGGGGGAAAAGGAGGGTAGGAGGAACAGGGAGAGATGGAGAGAGAAAGAGAGAGAGATAAAGAGAGAGAAAGAGAGAGAGAGAGAGAGAGAGAGAGAGAGAGGAAAAGAGAGAGAAAGAGAGAGAGAAAGAGAGAGAAAGAGGAGAAGAAGAAGAAAAATAGGGAGAGGATGGGATGAAAGGATGGAGTGAAGTTGATAGAAAGAGGACAAAAGATGGTTGGATTGAAGCCAAATCTGGGAGGACAAAGAAATAAGCAAAGATAAAGAGATAAAAGCGACGAAACGGAAACTCACTAGAAATAGAGACTGTCACAGACAAACCAAGGCGCAACAATCTCGTCGGTCGTTCCGAGCACGCCATTCGCCAGCTCTAACCCATCGACGAGCGGAGCGACTGCTGCTCTGGCGTCATGATTCGGCCCCCACGCCTCACTGGCGCCGGAGAACTTTAACAAACTACCGTCAGTAGCAGCGAATAGCCCATTTGGTAGCCGCAATATGAGACGGTTTACGACGTAAGACCATGCTTGCCCGTATTCGGATTATGATAGCTGCGCGACATGATTTACGAAGTGTAACTCAGCAGTTGTTGCTCTCAGGATATCGTGATGGGTTCGGTGGTTGCTGATGAGTTCCGGGAATGGTTTATTTATGATGGTGAAGCTGGTATGCATACAATGGTCAAAATAGGTCTGGTGGACATCTCTCATGCATATTTATGAAGTCTAGCATAGATAATTATATTTTGTCATCATCATTTGTAATTTCTGGTTTTGGCTCGTTGCTTGCACACCCTGCTGCAGCCAGTGCTTCGTTTAATCATTTTCCGCTCATCTCACGAGCTCCCCGTCCTGTCCTCTTTCCTGACTCTCGGCATCGATCTTCCTCGTCGTCCCCCCATCTGCCCTACATCTCCCCTCCATCTGCTCTCTCTCCCTCCTCTTTCCTCTTCCCGGGAAGAGCAATAGGAGGCTGCTCGGCCGATCCCACTTAGCGACTTGCTGACTAGCTGATTGATTAGTTAGCGTTTCTGTCTGCTGGCCTGCTGGTCGATCTTTTGGTCGATCGGTCGGACTGTATCTGTTTTGTGTCGATTTAGTGTCAATACTGTTTTTTGTTTGTTTCTTCAGCCCCCATTAGGAGCGCTTCCAACAGTCCATTCATTGGTTGGGAAACCATCAGCCTTCTCTGAATCAGTTTGCCATTTAAAAAAACATATTGCTATTTCTTTAGTTATAGGTGTTTTAAAATTAAGTTCTTATGTTTGAAGTACTTTTGCTTTCATGACTTTGAATACTTATCCGATATAAAATTGTGTCCATTCCATGTCTCGAAAATCAATGTGTAGTGAAACAAAATAAAACAACAGCAAAGAAGAGCAAAGCAAGGAAATGTTGCGTACACCCCACGCAAAATTATTCGCGTCTTTATCAATAAGGGAAACATTAGGCACCTTTTTCAGCGTTTCAAGACATTTGAGAGTGGGTGATGTCACTCGTCCCGCTCATTTCCACCGTAATTTTTCTTCTGACATACATAACTTATCTAGCTTAACCCTCGCCGGACCTATTGGTTTTCTACATACGCGCCGGCCGAGGGGGGGGGGGCGGGTACGACCCCCCCTCGCCGTTTCGCCCCTGGTGGAGCTAGCGCGTCGCGGAAAAAAAACGAGCGTGTGCGCCGTTACGAGACGCAGAGATTGTTACCCGATTTTAAGGTCCTAGGTCAACCGGTGACCTCTGAGGTCAGGTCAAGTGCCCCAGGGTACGGTTCAGTTTTTGGTGAATAACTTCGCAAAAAACGGCCGCAGAGCCGCGATTTTGGCAGCATCGTGTTCGCCTCGCTCAGGCGCGTCGAATGATATACTTTTTGTTCGGGTCAGGTCAACTTAGGGTGTTGACCTCAGGTCAAGGTCAGGTCAGCACCCCCAGGTCACGAAGTTGGTAGAAAGAGGTCATGTCGCATATCATTCGATTCGGCAGGTCTTCCGGAGTCCATTGATGGCTTTCTCGACTCGCTAGCTCAATTTGATCGGGAGTTATTGACGAAAAACTAATATGACCTTGATGACGTCATAAATGACGTCACGGAAGGTCAACATCGCAAAAGTGACGCATCTAACCTTGCAAGGAGTGCATCAAATGACGATTCTGTGAGCTTGAGATAGTTGGAGATCGTTCCCGGCGCCAGAATAGCAGTTTTCATTTGTCCCCATTGACTTATAATGGTGAGGTCACGAAAATGGCCTGACCTCATATGACCTTTAGGAAAAATCCGAGATATACAAGTTGTGAGACTCATAATGGATACTAGATCCTGCAAGTTTCATTTCCCTGTGACATCCCCTCTGGCAGTGAGGGCGTTGCGAAGTTGCGACATCTGAAGACCGTGCAGAGGTTCACTTATGACGTCATAGGTCAGTGACCTGACCTGACCCAAAAATGCGGTTGGTGTCAAAAGATGGGGCTTGGATAAAAGGTCAGGTATGCCAAGTTTGAGCTCTCTAGCGCCAGCGTGTTTGGAGCTATCGCGAAAAAAACCCTATGGGGGGCGGCACCCGCCCCCCCCCTCGGCCGGCGAGGGTTAAAGGCGAAACTTAAGCACAATTTATTTCTAGCAAATATATACCTACTTCTTATTATTTATGCTTTCGTCACAAGAATACACAAAATTTTATGTCGTGTAACAGTATTTTATCTTCCAGAAGCAGCCAGCATTTTCTTTTTGTATACACAAGCGGCACTTTATCCCGACTTTCCGCGTCAGCAGATAATCATTCACGGGAGTCATTTACCGCCCGCTGCATCCCCTCCTCCCCTTCTCCCCTCCCCCTGGAACCTACGTCTCTTCTGGCAGTGACTGAGTGATGTCCGTCCAGACTGCCGGGGGAGAGAGGGGGAGGGGAGGAGAGAGGGAGGGAGGATGCTAACGAACGTCACCGGATGCCGCATCCAGGACACCGCCCCCCGTGCTCTGTCCTCCTCTCGTGCTCTACCTGCCCTGCGGCTACATGCGAGGCGACTCCGTTCGAGGGGAAATGGGATTTAGTGAGTGATCATTTGTGTTCGTAAGCAAGGGTAGAATTTGGTACTATGCCATTATTTGCTGTGATGTGAGGTCAAATAATTGCTTTTTAGAATACAGATTCGAATTTCACACACGCCTACGCCTGTATTCTACAAAAAAAGATCAAAAACATAGCTCAGATGCATTTGTAAGAGCCTCAATGCAAGTGGCGCAGCTGGAAAAGCGTCATGATTCCTGGTGCTTCTGGTCTTTTGCGATTAATAATTCTAGCTGCTCAACCAGAGTAGTTTGGGTTCTGGGAAGCAGCTACTTGAAAGGAGTAGCATTGGTCCTCAAGGTACACAATGAAACGACATTTTTGGAGGAAGGAATAAAAAAGGAAATGCGAATTTGCGCTTCCATCTACTTGTAAACATCCTTCAAAACATCACTCGAGACCAAGTGCATCGCGCTTTACGAACCCAGGCAAAAACTGCGCTGGTTGGATGCTAACTAGATAGTTTCCTGGCAACGAAAAGCCAACATTTCCAGTCCCCAGGCAGCACTGTTTTTGCGATGGCTTAAACTGAGAATCGACGCATTTTTAATTGCATCAAGGCGGTCCACCATGCGCCGAAAGCATTAAATAAAAGGAGCCTAAGGACGTGCCTCTGAATCAGAGCCATGACTAATGCTGTGATCAGTGAGCTATCTTTCCTTCTTCGCTAGTGCGATTTCTTCGTCCAAGGGCGTCCAAACGGACTCATTCTTGGGCTTAGTTTCATTCCACTCTTAATTAAGCTATAGGTAACTAGTTGAGGCCACCATGTTTATTGAAAATATTGAAAAGTTAAAAATCCATGCAATCAGAAATTTAACTTAAATGACTCAGTGTAGATAAACCCCAAATACACGATGAAACCACCCAAGCGCAACCATGGCTATTGGATATGTTCCTCGTGTAAATGAACAACGGTCATAGCTCTCATGCAAACCAATTAACAAATCACGACTAATCCTTCCTGGGATCCGGCTGGCATCCCACTTTTGATGAAACACACTTCTTTCAACAACAATCTGAAAATCCCTCTGAGAGGCGCCGCAGGCTTAATAAATCCCCTCGCGTACTCGACCGCGGCTCGACCGACTTCCGACCTCGCGGAGCTGACGGGGCTAATGCAATGTTGGCCCTCAGCTCGCGGCCGCTCCAGCCAGCCAATAATACGCCACGTCGCCGGGCGATACGCCCGGGTGAGCACCGGAAGGCTGGGCGAGTGCTGAGCTGGGCAGTGACGTCTGTGCCGGCGGCGGCGGCGGCTACCCCTGCCCCCTCCCTGGGCCCCTGGCAGGGTAGCGGGGAGGACCCGTGGTGGAAGGGTAGCGGGGGAAGGGTAGCCAGAACCGAGCCAAGACAGCGCCCACTGATCGGCTACAGACGAGACTCCCTCTGTCTCACAGCTTCCACGCTCTATCTCTCCTCTTTGCTGTCCCTCTCCTTGTCCCTGTCTCTATCTCCATTCTGTCCACATGTCTGCCTCTCCATGCCTCCATTTGTACAAACGTGCAAACGTCTCTGCTTTTCCGTCTCATCTCAACCTCTCTTTGTTGTGTCCTCTCCTCTCTCTCTCTCTCTCTCTTTCTCTCTCTCTCTCTTTCTCTCTCTCTCTCTCTCTCTCTCTCTCTCTCTCTCTCTCTCTCTCTCTCTCTCTCTCTCTCTCTCTCTCTCTCTCTCTCTCTCTCTCTCTCTCTCTCTCGCTCTCTCTCTCACTCTCGCACGCCTCCCCGCCGTTGCACTGCATGTTTCTTTTTCTTATCACGCGCACTGCAGGGGGGGGGGTTGTTTTCAACCCCCCCCCCCCCCCTGTGGTTTTTCGCAAATTGCGAGAAAACGGCGGCGCGTAGCGCCGCCAAATTTTGCATACCTGTTCTCACAACTTTTGCACATCTTGAGTAAAAATTTTGACCCCAGGTGACCTATGGTCAGGTCACCAGGTCAGGTCAAGTGACCCTACCTCGAAACGTAAATTTCGAAGTTTGCAATCCCACCAAGCCCACAGTTGTTGAGATATGATCTTGAAACCCACAGGAAATAGTAAAGTCATCACGAGCTACAACTTGTATATCTCGGAATTTTTATATCGATGACCTAAGGTCAGGTCATTTTTGCGACCGGCCCATTATAAGTCAATGGGAGAAATTTCAACTTACTCTGAATGCCATCCTATGACTTCAATACGCTCAGGATCATAGTATTACAGGTCCCTGTTGGTGATTTCACCGAAACATATCACTTATGACCTTTGGAAGGTGATCTCCAGGTCATCTTAGGTCACCTGAGGTCACCAGCGGTTTTTCTTCAATAACTTGAGATTGAGTAGAGATAGAGACTCCGTTCGACGTTTATCGTGTTTTTCTCGTCAATGCGGATCGAATGATATGCAACATGACCTATTTCGGTCAGGTCATGACCTTGACCTGAGGTCAAATTTTCAACTTGACCTTTCGAGGTCATATTATATATCATTCGATGCGCCTTGACGAGCTAAGAACGATGGCGTTCGAATCGATCCTCTGTCTTGTGTGCAAGACAAGTTATTCAAGAAAAACTACCGCGAAATTCCTGTTGTGAAAATCGTAACATTTTGTCTTCGGTGACCTCTGGTGACCTCGTTTTTGACATGACCCAAAAATGATCTTAGTATTTCTTGTCGATCTCATCTTAACCTATCCAACGCCGTTTACCGCTTGTCGCTACGTTGCGCCGTTTTCGAGATCTCAGGGGGGTTGTTTTCAACCCCCCCCCTGCAGTTCGTGTTCGGCTCAGACCCGCTGCAGTGCGCGTGTTATATATTATTATCCATTCTACATAACTCTTTTCTCTCTTTGACCACTTCTTCTCCATCCCTCTATCCCTTTCCACACCCCATCTTCTTTTTTGTGTGACTGCACAATGGGATCCATCTGGGCTTTGTTTGTCGGTAATGAGAGGAAGGATCACACGCGTGGTCATAATACGATCTGGCGCAATATCTGAGGTGGTAACTGCCGGCCCGTCGGACTTTTGTTCGCGATTATAATATCATAATTCATAACTCATATGCAATAATTTTTGCGTATCTGTCTAGACCAGCTAGTCTCAGAAATCAGAGTCTTACAATAACTATAGCTATTTGTTTTGAATAATATTTGGGTTCTTTCTTCTAGATTCATACACATGTTTTATGGCAAATAACGACCTGATATGCTGCATTTCCATGGATGCATCCTGCCTAAATAATGACTAATTTCAAAAGTAATTTTTGGACTTTTTATGTCATGCATGGTAGCAGAGGTCGATAAAATGCTTGGAGTTGCTCCAACGAACATCTTAGTCCCACCACTGTCTCCAACTTAGCCCTCGCCTGGCGGGGGGGGGGAGCAGCCTCCCTAAGTTTTTTTCGCGAATAGCGTAAAAGTTGGTGTCGCGTAGCGCCGCAAAATTTGGCACAACGTCTGGGAATGAGCCTTTTGCTACCTATCCTGAAAATTCACTGCCATCCGCCGCGTCGGCACACCGGTATCTCCTCACCTTCTCCCCACACGGCCTTGACTCCCCAACTCACACCATCACACTGATCACACTACTGCATACGGTGACCGGTCGCACGGTGGATCTGAATGCCTACGTTTGCGCGCCAAAGTCTGAAACAACTAACGATTATCATCAGCTTAGAGATGTTGAAATTTAGCATTTTAAACCTTCTAATTCAAAAGTTTATATCTGTGCTTTAACGCACTTGTCCGTATTGATTGAGAAAAGAGCGGACTTTTTATCGTATTACCTAATGCGAAGTAACGCAATCGAAGTGTGATTTCGGTCCACTGTGCGTTTTCAGGCGCGCTCGATAAAACGCCCAGGCCTGGAGAAAGTTGGAAGGGTGATTTTCTGATCCTCCTTACCACAAAATGACCCTAAGCGAAAAAATGCCCGCAGGGCGCTGCCAACGCGTGCCAGCGGCCCTGCTAGTAAGGGCGAAAATCAATGTATGTGTATGCGGAGCACACCCTTAGCGCTATGATGGCTCCTTGGAGACACCTGGAGAAACCTGTCCCGGCAGAAGGGTCAGGTCCCTCGCAGACGGCGCGGCACGGCGAGAGCTCAGCGGGTGGCCTAGCCGGAAAGAGGATAAAAATAGCCGACTGGCCCGACCCAGCGAGGGGTGACCGAAGGGTGACCAGGAGTGAATGAGGGAACATACACGCGGTACTTACCGAGCAGCCGATAACAGCACCGGACGATTAGAAAGTCATAAGTCAATGCTGTATTTTAGGCGTAAGGAAGCATCCATGTAGACGGGCGGACTGTCTCCAGCTCTTCGAAGCATTGCTAATATCTTGCTCCAACGGGCGTTGGCACGTTGGAAGTTTTATCGACCACTGCATGGTAGCTGCACAAAAACACTTACTTTGAGAAGTAAGTGGTTTTGTATTGTGAGAAGTACATATCTAAAACCTTCACAAACTCCACTATCTGTTTGACCTTCTTCCAATGCTCAAACTAGCCCAACAGGCCGCAGGCAGACCAGCATTCAGGGAAGGTCTCTGGCCAGGGTGATCTGTCGATAGCGTCTGGCAGACAACACGCTACATCACCATTAGGGGTAGTCCTGGCCTCCCAGAGCGGGGCCGGGGAGGAACACACAGGGCTGTGGCATGGGGATAAATGGTGGGTAAAGTTGGGCTACAGCTGGGTTTGTCTGTTTGTAGACTTGGAAAGATTAAAGCAAATAGAAACAGGCGAAGAAGGTATATCACAGTAAATGTTATCAAGAAAGTGGGATGATAAATCTGGGAAAGTGTGGCGAAGGACGATTGTAAACTTCCGATAGAAATGGCGGCGAGAGGGACTGGTCAATATTTGAACAGCGTTGGAGAATGGCTGCTTTGTAGACCTTGGAGAGCCCACAGAAGACCAGCTGTCCCTTTCATGAGCTCGCTTCGATTTTGCGTTACGGTTGGTGTTCGCGCGCCGTCAATGAGAAACGTCGTTCACGGGCTCTCAGTCCTCTATATTTTCTCCTCCATTCCTCCTCCTTCTTCCAGCGCTAACGGCCTGAGCCTGAATCAGCCGCGTACCGCCATGGCCAGACAGAGCCTCGTACAACAGGAGCCAGGAGCCTTGAGCCGTAACTAAAACACGCATACACACAAACGAAACAAGGTAAGTTCCAGACAAATAAATCCGTATCATAACATTGGTCAGTCGTATCACGATAATTTCAGAATAATAAGCAAAGCGCTTCACAATAACATCCGACATTTGGTACGATTTAGTGCTTACCGACAAATTGTCACTCTCCGGCGTAACGAACAGTGTTCATGCTTAAATTCATAGCCAAAATTCTTCCTTTTCACTCAAACAACATTTTTGCAAGTCATCAATCACATCTTTCGTCTTTATCTTTCGTAATTATTCAGATTCTAGCCAGACATTGTCAAAATCGAGCCGAAAGAAAGTAAACAAAACAAAACAATCCGGTAACCATAGCAACATAGCGTAGTTACCATAGGCGGAGGGCACCGCCGCTGAGCGGCGTCGCAACGGCACCGCCGCTGGGGCCGTGCGGCGCTAACACCCGCCCCCTTTGAACCATCCAGGTTCAAAACCAACTTCTTAACTATACATATAACAACACATAGGCACACTACACAGCCTACCGAAACAAGCGTCGCTGAGATCAGCATCAACACACGCAAGTAGAACGCATCCTATATACATTATACATGCACCGTTCCTGATGTCTATCATTGTGATTGTGTCATGAGCCTGTGTGGCGTGTCATGATCTTAAGTGTCCGGTGTTAATGACTTAGCGGTGTGCTGCTAGACTCATGCTGTCTTATACAGTGTAGCTGCAGCTCCATCGCTTCACCAAGACTGCTCTTCTGCGCCCAGAATCTTCACTACCTTCGTGACAGGTCTCAGAAACATGGTTCCTCGAGCGCGGACCTTCACAGAGCGCACACGCCCGTCCTTACCAATCAGGGTCTCCTTCACGAGACCCAGCGGCCACACACCGCGTGGTACCGATTCGTCTACCATGACGACGACGTCACCGATCCGCAGGTTCGTCCGACTTCTCGTGGCAGCGCGAGATCGCTGCTGCAGGAGAGGCAAGTATAGTCGTCTCCACGAACGCCAAAACTGCTCAGCTAGGTAAGCAGCTTGTCGCCATCTCTTGGGTCCATCCAGGTCATCTTCATTTGAAGAATCACATACCGGTGTCACACACTTCAAATGCAGGATGTGATTCGGAGTCAGAGGCACCTCGTCACGAGGGTCCGACGAAACCGGCACCAGCGGCCGATTGTTCATGATGCACTCGGTTTCGCACAAGAGTGTGTGCAACGTCTCTTCTGTGAATGTTTGGCTGGTTAACAGACCATTCAGGATCTTCCGGACGCCTCTGATGAGACGCTCCCACACACCGCCGTGGTGGGAAGCGGCAGGAACGTTGAACATCCACTCGATGCCCTTGTCCAGCATCGCTCTCTTCAACTTCTCTTCGTTCGCGTGCAGTGCATCAACTTCTTCCTTCAGCTCCTTGTCTGCTGCTGTGAAGTTCGTTCCCCTGTCGGAACGCATCAGGCGAACGTTACCGCGTCTTGCAATGAAGCGGCGCAAGGCACAAATGAATGAGTCCGCAGAAAGGCTGTCTGCGAGCTCGAGATGCACGGCTCTCGTGCTGAGGCATGTGAAAATAACTCCAAACTTCTTCACCTGACCTCTACCTCTCTTGGCGTATAGCGGCCCGAAGTAATCTACACCAGTGTTACTGAACGGGTGAGTGGCCTCCTCTACACGATCCTGTGGCAAGTCTGCCATCTTCTGTCCCTCAACTGGGCGCTGTCGTCTTCTGCACTTCACACATCTGTGCAAACACCGTCGTACTGCGCTGTTCCCTTTCAGTACCCAGTATCGAGTCCTGAGTTCAGAAAGAACATACTGACGTCCTTCGTGTCCTGCCCTCTCGTGACGATCAGCGATGATCAGGTCAGTTACCTTGTCCTTGTCTGGGAGAATCAGAGGATGCTTGGCAGCCCAGTCCAACGCAGAGTTCATCAAGCGTCCGCGCATCCTGATGAGACCGTCCTCCACGAATGGGCTCAGCCGCGACAGACGACTGGCACATCGCACCTCACGTCCCACTCCCAGGTCAGTCAGTTCTTGCAGAATATGAGTTTTCTGAACATGCTTCACGATGATCCTCTCGGCATCTTCTATGTCAGCAGGAGTGAGCTCCCTCGCATTCGAGGCTCCCTGCTCGTCTCTGGCCTTCAGCTGCAGAGTCTTGATCGTTCGGCGGATCCATGCCACCGCTCTCGTGAGTCTCTTCCATGACGAATGATATTCAATCAGACGATCGATGGGATTGGCGCTGGAGTTGTCAGCCTTCTCGTTCTGCACAACGACAGTTGCCGAACTTGTCTTCGCTTGCTTCACTTCCGGGTCATCCGGGTGAATCTCACCGACGCACGGAGACCTTGGCCAATTCTCCTGTGAGCTCCTGAGAAATGGCGGACCGTTGTACCACATGTCGCTGTCTTGCAGTACTCCTCTTGAAACCATGTCAGCAGGATTCAGCGACGAGGGTACGTACCGCCACTGTTCGTTCTTCGATCCAGCGTGTATCGCAGCAAGTCGATTCGCCACATAGATGTGATAGCGCGAGGTCTCGTTCTCGATGTAACGCAACACGGTCGTGCTATCCGTCCAAAAGGTGACGTCATGGATCCTCATGTCCAGTGCTCGCAAGAGCTCTTGGTTCACGTCTACGGCAAGCTTGGCTTCGGCTAGTTCAAGACGCGGGACCGTAATCGCCTTGAGCGGAGCGACTCGGCCTCGGCTAAGAACCAGGGAAACGAACACTTCACCATCTCCGCGCACAGTGCGTATGTATGACGCGGTGCCATAGCCCTTCAGACTGGCGTCACTGAAGTGGTGCAGACTCACTGCATCCGCGGCACTTATGCCATACGGATCATAACATCTTGGCACGCGAACGTCTGGCAGGGACTTCAACCCATTCAGCCATCTGTTCCATTCTTCTTCAACTTCATTGGGAATGTCATCGTCCCAGCCGGTTCGTAGACGCGTCAGTTCCTGAAGAATCATCCGTCCTTGAAGAACGCGAGGAGCAGCCAGGCCTAACGGGTCGTAACAGGCTGCGGTCGCGGAGAGTATTCCGCGTCGAGTACGTGGTCTTCTGTTGAGAGCGTCTACGTCGATGCTGAATCCAAGCTCATCCCTGTGAGTATCCCAGAGTACACCTAAGACTCTCTCGCTTGAAGAGGTTTCCTGTCCAAGGTGAGTTTCAGTCTTTCCCTTGTCATCTTCTGATAGCGCTCTCAGAACTTCGGTGCTGTTGGAGTTGAACTTCGTGAGTCGGAAGCCACCCATGCTGCACAGCTGCTTCAGGTCCTGCGCCATCTTCGCAGCGGAGGCTTCTGACGTCGTCGATTGGCATACGTCATCCACATAGAAACTTCTTTGCAGTGTCTTCTTCACTTCGGGGGTGTATCCTGTGCCGAAGTCTTCTGCCGTCCGATGAAGAGCGTAGTTCGCGCAACTGGGACTGGATGTCGCTCCGAACAGATGTCTTGTCATCCTGAAGACACGTGGTGTTGAAGAAGTGTCGCCTTCTGGCCACCACAGGAAGCTCAGATAGTTCCTGTCGCTCTCCGGTACCATCACCTGAAGAAACATGGACTCGATGTCACCGGTAAAGGCTACCGTCTCTTGTCGGAAGCGGACTAGCACGTCCACCAGGGAGTTCGTCAGGTTCGGGCCTTGCATGAGTACGTCATTTAGACTCACTCCATTGTATGACGCGCTGCAATCAAAAACTACTCTAAGCTTGTTTTTGGTCGGGTGATACACCCCATGGTGCGGGATATACCAGCGCTCTTCTTTTCCTTCTTCTGAGTCTGGTGCTGCTTCCTCAGCATATCCTTCCTCCAGAAGCTTCTTCATCTGCTCCTTGTAGTCAGCTGCATATCTTGGATCCTTCTCGAACTTTCTTCTCAGTGATTCCAGTCGTCTTGCTGCCATCACTCTGTTGTCTGGCAGATCGGGTTTCGCATCTCGGAATGGCAGACCGATTTCGTACTTCTCTCCGTCCTTCTTGCATGTATCTTCCACCTTGAGGCACCACTTGACGTCCTCGACTGAGTAGCCTCTGCGACTATCATGGCTGTCAAGGAACTCGAGCTCGGGATCTTCCAGCATCTTGATGCGGTTGACACGCGCGACGTGTGCACCTGGTCCCCTCTTCCCCTCAACGCCACAGACCAGCCAACCGTATCTGGTTCTGACGGCGTAGGGGCCCTTCTGGCCTGGGCAGCTCACCACTTCCAATGGTTCTGACACCACGCTGGCGTTTGCACCGATGAGCAGGCCGATCTCTCTTGATGTCGTCTTCTCAGTAAAACCAGCTTCAACTCCACGTTGTCGGAGATGTGGCCACTTGCTGATGTCTTCTTGTCGTACGATGTCTTGCTTTTCCACCGGTATGTGCTCTAGAACATACAACGCTGGAAGTTCAACTTGGTTGCCACCATCTTCAGTTCCAATACTGACACCAGTGACCAACGAGGTCTTCATTCTTCGCTCTCCATTGATGGTGGACATGACTACATATGTCTTCTCGTCTGGTTGAATGCCTAACTGACTTGCCAGCTTACGTGAGATGAATGAGTGCGTACTGCCAGGATCTATGAAGGCTCCAGTCAGCACGGACCGTTCCTTGACGTTGGCTGATACTGGAAGCACCTGCAGCTTTCCACCGCCTTCACACTCTTGTGACACATGTCCTGCCGTCACGACGTTGGCGTTGGGCAGCGCATCTCTGTGCATACTTGTAGGATGCGACTTCTCGCACTTCTTACAGCGGCTTCGTTTCTGACAGTTCTTGGAGATATGTCCTTCCTGTAAGCAGCCGAAACATAGTCCATGTTGACGTATGTAGTCAGTCTTCTCTTCCTCAGTCTTCGCTCCGAAAGCTCTGCAAGTCTCCAGGTCATGAGGATGCTCGCAGTAGGCACACTTGGCCGGTTGCTTCATGTTGCTTGCGTAAGCTCGACTTCTTCGTTCTTGGCGGAGCTGATGCTCCCGATTCTTCATCTCCTTTCTTGCAGGCTGCTGTGCTTTCTGCACGGTCGTGGCTTGCGGTCGTGTGTCCTTCTTCTCTTGAGCACTGAGAACATGTCTTCCATAGACAGGGTTGGACGCGATTCTTGCTTCTGATTCGATGAACTCTACGAAGTCTCTGAAACTGACCTGCCTCTGGTCAGTCCTCTTCCTTTCTCCGTCTTCTCTTCTGTCTCGTCTCTGATCCTGTTCGATCCTGTCGACCGCTCTGCGCCAGCGATCAGCGACCCACGGCGTCTTCTGAATGGCCTGGCAGATCATCCATGAATCAAACCCACTGTCTGCCAAAGCAGGTGAGTGAAGAGCGTTGAGAGCACCTCGCAGAAACACTGAGTAGTCATCAAGGCCGTTCACATATTCATATCTCACGCGCGGGTAGTTTTGAATCTTCTCGATCACTGATGCTCTGGACTTCATCACATTGTCATATCTCACGTTGAGTAGACGAATAGCTTCACTGTAACCATCATCACCCAGGTAGACGCAGGTGGCTACAATGTCATGAGGCTTACCTTTGGTCAGCTGCAACAGGTACATCAGCTTCTCTTCTTCCCTGTCCAGCCTACATGCAATGTTAGACTGGAAAGCTGTGATGAATGGTAGAAAGTCTTCGTCGGTTCCATCAAACGCACGTAACTCCAATGACTGAAGTCCGATTCTTCTCATCACCAGCCTGTCCGTTGTGTTGAGATCCATTTGCTGAACTGAGCCAGCCGACTTGTCATGAGATGCTCTTCCTGCACCTGCATATATGTCTTCTTTCGTTTCATTGTCTTGTTTCTTGTCATGTTTCATTTCATCTTGTGCACTTTCATGTGCTTCATCATCTTGCTTATGTTCATTTCCAACTTCATTGTCCTCTTCATGTTCAAGTGCTTCAAATCGTGCTAGCACAGCTTCTTTGGCTTCACACTCCTTTAGTTCAGCCAGCAGTTGCACTTCCTCTTGTTTTCTGCGCAAGTTTTCTATCTGTTCCTCAAGTTCATGTTTCTGCTTCAATGCATTCATCTTCGCCTTCAGTCCGGCTAATCTGGCCGCTTCAGTAGCTCTCTGTGACGTGACAGATGCTCTGCTGGACGTCGACTTGACTGATCTTGCATCAGTACCATCGTGACTTCTTACGTCCATCTGAAACGCTTCCTTTCTTGCGATCGACTCTGGATCAACATCGGCTTGACTTCTTGCATCTTCATCGGGCATCACCGCTTTCTTGTAGCACGCCTCTTCTCTCAGAACTTGCGCCAACCGCTCCTTCAGAACAGCTTTGGTCCCTCTGGAATCTTCTCCGCGGGCGTCCAGCTCACGCTTCAGGTCCCGCACTACCAGTTTCTCGATGTCAATGTCCATAGCTGATGTATGTTAATATACCTATGTGCATGTGAAAGCGTAATGCCAAATGTGTTCAGCACTGATAAACAGCAGCTGTCATAGTCGGGTGCATCTCGTGTCAATGTTCCGCGAAATGTACCAATGGCAGTACCATATTGTACCCAAGAAGCATATAACTGTCAATGTTCAAATCGTCTGACTGTCAAATGTACCTACCAATGGCAGCATCATGTGGTACCAAAAGAAACCCATTGTCAAAGCTCATATTGCCTGGCTGTGGAACGTACCAAGGCAACATCATGTTGTACCAAATCAAGCCTATCATCAAAGTTCACATTCCCTGGCGGCAAAATGTAAGGCAACACCGTACCGTACACAACATGCGTCGATCAGGTTATATCTGGCCAGGCTGCGAAACGTACCAACGGCAGCACCGTTCTATGCACAACATGGGTACACTGCACTTGTACCAATGGCAACAGTTCAACATGGCAACACTGATCATCGGTACCATTTAGTACCAATAGTACACTCGTACTTCTAGCGCAGTCGGCGCAGGCTGCCAGTCGTACCAACGGCAACAGTCAACGAATGTTCCACGAGCATTAACACTGACGAATAGTGTTTTTCAAAGCAAGAGTTTATATAGTCACCGTGGAGTTTATCTGGTAGGCAATGCAATGCGCAAATGGCGACAGCATCAAAGCAAGCTGCTGAAACTAGTGGCATTGTGGCACTTATCGCGTTGTAGAACTTGAAGTCTGATGGCGCTGGAGAACTCGCTGTTTCCGCTGCCGTTCTTGAAGTCGCATTCTTGAAATTTGTCGTTACTAAATGTTCGCGCGCCGTCAATGAGAAACGTCGTTCACGGGCTCTCAGTCCTCTATATTTTCTCCTCCATTCCTCCTCCTTCTTCCAGCGCTAACGGCCTGAGCCTGAATCAGCCGCGTACCGCCATGGCCAGACAGAGCCTCGTACAACAGGAGCCAGGAGCCTTGAGCCGTAACTAAAACACGCATACACACAAACGAAACAAGGTAAGTTCCAGACAAATAAATCCGTATCATAACATTGGTCAGTCGTATCACGATAATTTCAGAATAATAAGCAAAGCGCTTCACAATAACATCCGACATTTGGTACGATTTAGTGCTTACCGACAAATTGTCACTCTCCGGCGTAACGAACAGTGTTCATGCTTAAATTCATAGCCAAAATTCTTCCTTTTCACTCAAACAACATTTTTGCAAGTCATCAATCACATCTTTCGTCTTTATCTTTCGTAATTATTCAGATTCTAGCCAGACATTGTCAAAATCGAGCCGAAAGAAAGTAAACAAAACAAAACAATCCGGTAACCATAGCAACATAGCGTAGTTACCATAGGCGGAGGGCACCGCCGCTGAGCGGCGTCGCAACGGCACCGCCGCTGGGGCCGTGCGGCGCTAACAGTTGGGATGGTTATATAACTGACGGTTTTCGGACACACCCAGTAGTATTGTTGGAGGCAGAGGGGTTGTGGGGCAGGACGAGTATGTATATTTATTTATTTATTTATTATTTATTTATTTGGGGTCAAGGACAACAGGCATACGTGGGCCCATTTAATGTCCAAGCACTCAAAATCAGTCAAATGTTACACACAAACACTGGGACAAAAACATTGCAACTACGATACAATTTTACAATTCTTTTACATATGTTGACACATTGGCCCTAAGTTCCCTTAAAGAGTCATGGAATACATCAGCATCAGTACACTGAAACAAAAACTTATTAACAAACGATGGTGCTCTAACAAAAAGTGACCTTTGTACCGCGTCTACTCTCGCAAATGGAACATGAAAGACACCACGTGCTTGTTCGGTGCTTCTCGTTGCCCTTGGCGCGATAAATAGAGGGAAATGGGCTAAAAGGGCTGCACAATCAGTATGATTTTTATACAATTTGGCAACAAACATAATGTCATATTGTCGACGCCTATTCTCTAGACATGCGACGCCAAATAATCGCAGCAAGTCACTGTAATTAATAGCTGATGGTGAGTCTTGACATCGAGTATAACAATATAGCCAATATAAGAAACGTTGTTGCACCCTTTCGATTCTGTCCAGGTACGTTTTTGCGGCACCTCCCCAAATAACACAACAATACTCGAGAATTGCTCTAACGTTACCATAATATGCTGTTAACCCGCGCCCTGCTGGGGGGGGTGTTTGAACACCCCCCCCCTTGTGGTTTTTCGCGAATATCTCAAAAACGGCGGCGCGGAGCGCCGCCGTTTTTGGTACACCTTATCATACATCAATTCTACACATGTTGTGAAAATTTCAGACCAAGGTCATTCAAGGTCAGGTCACCAGGTCACTTGAAGTGACCTCACCTCATAAAAACTTTCAATGTCTGTCATAGCTACACCGAGTGACCGATCGCTTTGAAACTTTCAGCGATTGCTAAGAGCAATAGCATGTACAAAATGTATATCTCAGAATTTTGATATCGATGACCTAAGGTCAGGTCAATTTTGCGACCTCCCCATTATAAGTCAATGGGAGAAAATTGAAATGCGCCTCTTTTGGATGAAAGACATTATAAACACTCACAAACACCGAATTACATGTGTTTTAGACACACTGAACTTGAAAATGGTGTCCGTGACCCTTGTTTATGCCCTGAGGTCATCTTAGGTCACGAATGGTATCTAACAGTTTTTCGCAAATAAATTTTGATAGAGGCATACTAGAGCGATGAAAACGCCTTAGATGTGTTCAGCTCGACGATACGGATCGACTGATATGCAACATGACCCTTTCCGGTCAGGTCATGACCTTGACCTGAGGTCAAATTTTCAAGTTGACCTTTCAAGGTCAAGTTATAGTTCATTCGATGCGTCTTGACGAGAGGAACACGATGCCGGTAAAAGTAAGCTCGTACAAGGCTTGGGTCAAAAGTTATTGCAGAAAAACTGTTTTCGAAAAAATCGGCTATTTTTGCAGTTTTTGCCCCCTGCAGGCAAAACCGTTGACGTTAGGTCAAATCTGAGAGAATTACTCAGAAAGGGCGTTAATAGGGCTATCAAATGCGCTTTTCCGCGGCGCTGTAGCTCTATTGGTTCCCGAGTTATGCGTTGGCTTCTTGGAAATTTTCGACATTCGACCTGGAAATCGGCGAAATTTTGCCTTCAATGACCTCTGGTGACCTGACCTTTGACCTGACCAAAAATTGACCGAAGTGATTTCGTCATTATTTTTTACGCTCTTTCGAACGCCGCCTTCCGCGTATCGCTACGTGGCCCAGGAGCCGAGTTACAAGGGGGGGTGTTCAAACACCCCCCCAGCAGGGCGTGGAAATCCAGGACCCCCAGCAGGGCGCGGGTTAAAATGGGCTTCCAGCTAAATGTTTTGACCTTGTGACCGGTTTGCATCGATCTCATGATGAGACCCATGACTCTGTTAGCTTTTGATACTGTTGTGTCTATATGTTTGCTGAAAGTCAATTTGGTATCCAAAACAACATATATATAAATCTTGTTATAAATATATATAAATCATATATATATAAATCTTGTTTAGATTGAAAGGCGCAACATCCTTCAATATCGTCGTAAATTTGCTGCAAATTAAATCGAAATCAGAATTATTCAAAACTGAATGTTTTGAAACTCTAATATCTTATTCCTGAAAAAAAATGCTGAATGCATAAACATAGTAAAACTGACATGTTTCCCATCAACAGGGTTTTCACCTTTTCTCTCAGCCAAATTTTGAATAATGCAACATACATTATGGAAACTGAAACTGAAACGTCATAAATCAGACATAAAATTACCACATCAAACCCATCCGTCAGCCCACAATGCTTCTCATATCTTCCCAGCCATGCTCCACTGCGTTCCAAACGTTTCAGCCATTGTCACTGCTTGTGCCATTCTCATCCAGTATTGTGGGACTTTGCATTGTCTCTTTGATGTTTGTATTGGTAAGGGGCTTCTCTGATGACTCCGCAAACATCACTGTCATGTTGCGGTGACACTGTGAAACAATGCGGTGGCCGATAGACACAAGACCCGATAGATGTATCAGTCGAAACAATGGAAAGCCCGCAATGTGGCAGAAATTGCGATAACAGTTATAATGAATGCATGCTGACTTGTTTTTCCTTTGTCACGTCAATAACTGAAGGAAACCCCATTCCGCTCGTTGAACTATGAGCTTCTACGAAGCATGTGCCAAGCCTGCACTTTGCGCGCTTGTTTGCTATGCTGTAACTAAAAGGCATGCTTATAATGTTTACGACCTTTTGCAGGTGAAAATAATAAAAACATCATATTGATGCAAGTATGTAATGGACCCAAAGAGGTGTACGACATATATTTCTGATAATGCAACAGAAGCATTCTACTCATTACTGCAGCACCTTTTTATTTCTGAACCGGGGATTCGACGCGTGGAGCGGCACGGAGATATTGCCTGTCGGGTAGACTGTACCGCAATACACTCATGTATGGCGGTACAGTATACCTACCTGCATCCTGGCGTCTGAGCGTGCGGGGCTGGGTGTGCATTGTGAAGCACCGCAACGGGAAATAAATATTTGAGTGTTTCTAATGGTCAATTTAGTCGTTTCTAGTCGATGTTTGCTCATCAGTAGATACTCATCAGTATCAGTATATACTCATGTCAGTAGATACTCATATAATTAGATACTCATATCATCATATCAGTAGATACTCACAAAGACAAAATATATTTTTCGGTACACGAAAATACTTTCCCAAAAGTATAGCAATAGGCATCGCTTAAAACAAAGCACAGTGCAACATGCGACTACAGCGCATAATGTTTTGATGTTCGCTTGTTGGCAGCGGTCCCTAAAATATTTTATTGGAATGGCAGCTGGCTTCGTTCATCATTAACTACACACGTCATAAAGTGTTCAAGGTTAACAAAAAATCCATGAAATGTGAAGCAATGTTCATGGATTTTTTTTTGTAATATGGTAGGTAGCTAGCTACTATGGTAAGTTGCTAGACCTACATAAATTGAATATTGAAACTGCTGAGGACGCTATACACACAACATTTTTCAGTGAAGTACCTCAGACTCTGGGATATCGTCTTTGTTATCACAGCGAAACCCTTTATTTATTCTGTCAATAACCTACGGTACCGAGAAATTTTTAGTCCAACAATGTGCTTTGACGTCGTGACAAAATTTGCTAATGTGTGCGTGCTTAGGGAATTATACTTAGCACCAGCACTTTGACATACAGTACGGAGTGAACTCGATAAACACAAAAACAAAGTTGCCGTTTGTAGACATCCAAGCCCTCTGGAGAAGTCATTAATCCGATGAAATTTGTCAAGCCAAAACGAAACCAGAAAACCCTTTGCAGCGGCTACATGCTATCATTCACCAGCACAGCGCGACATTAAAAAAACACGTCAGTATCAGTATTTTCCGGGTGTTTTCCACTACTGTGCTCTCATCCTTTCCCTCGGCCGGACGTTCTAGAGATTGCCAGCCTTTGCAAACTCCGGCTGGGTAGAGCGCGGGGGAGGGTAGAGCGGTGGGTTCATGAACTCATCCTCTGCTGTGCGATAGGGCAGTTATTAACTGCCGGCAGAGGCCCTGTTTGCGACCGGCTTCAGCGGCCGCCATATTTTGTGTACCGTGGAGCAGCCGGGCCGCCATATTTTGTGTACCGTAGAGCAGCCGGACGGTAGTGATTAGTTAGAGCTCGATTGAGTGCTGGAAAAGGTAGAGTGTGGAGGCATTTAGAGAGGAGAGAGGGTAAGGGAGGGAGGAAGGGAGAGTTGGAAAAAGGGAAAGAGGGAGGGAAGAGGAGAGAGAATGGGAGTGAAGGGAGAGAGAGTAATATTGAAGAAGAAGGAGAGGGCGCTCTGGAAAGAGATGTGCTGTGACTCGTTAATTTCTTTTTTTTTAAGACATGTGTATCATTTGGACTTCAAAGAAACATTAAATCAAATGATTTGAATCAAATATTGAATCAAATCTGTGGATAAACACACAAAGTTACATTTCAACACATTTTAGACAAAAAACATAACTAAAATATGTAAATAAATGCATTTCAGCCACTACCACCGTCGCAAGATTACACCAACTCAACATCTGGATTTCGGATTGATCTTATTTTGCTTTGTCCGCCGAGTTCCAACAGCGGACTTATCCATTATAAGGCGGTCGCTAGGCCACTCATGATCCTGGTAAAAGTTTGACCATATCCCAGACGGGCCTGTGCAAGGTTGATGGATTACCCTTCTGAGGTCTGCGGGGTGTTGATAAATGAGAATACTGACGTGAACCAGCAGGCAAATATTTCACGGCATTGTGAGAACATAAAGAGGAAAAGAGAGAGGGAGAGAGAGAGAGAGAGAGAGAGAGGGAGAGAGAGAGAGAGAGAGAGAGGGGAGGGAAGGGGAGGGGAGGGGAGGGGAGGGGAGGGGAGGGGAGAGGAGAGGAGAGGAGAAGAGAGGAGACGAGAGAAGAGAGAGGAGAGGAGGAGAGGAGAGGAGAGGAGAGGAGAGGAGAGGAGAGGAGAGGAGAGGAGAGGAGAGGAGAGGAGAGGAGAGGAGAGGAGAGGAAAGGAGAGGAGAGGAGAGGGGAGGAGAGGAGAGAGGGGATAGGAGAGGAGAGGAGAGGAGAGGAGAGGAGAGGAGAGGAGAGAGGAGAGGAGATGGGAGGAAACAAGACGAAATCACACCCGACCAGACAGACTAGACCAAACAAGTCGGCCTTGACACGGCCAGACGCGAATAAATACACTTGATATTCAGATCGATATTCACATGCGGGTGCAAGACGACAACTTCTATGTAGATAAATCTGCATACGCATGCTGGTTCCTTCACAGCTGATTCCGGGCCACAGGCGCCGAAGAAAACATGCAAACAAAAAACATGCACCAGCACATTGCGCCTTACGACTGATGATATGTTTTTGCAGCACTTGTACTGATCAATAACGGTCTCAAGTTACCAGGTGCCAGGTGTTTTTATCGAAGTGCTGCCGCTGATTAAATCTGAACGCTGATTATTAGATCATTTTGAATTATTAGCAAGTTGCTGTGCTCTCATCTCATTCCACAACTGGATAATGGTGATGAAAAGCCGTAGAGTGCTGCAGGTGTGGGCGTTACGCCTGCAGACGTATCCCTAGTAGCGCCAGTGTCCTAAAAATTTGTGGATCTTCTTTAACATTTACAATTTACATGTTTCACCATTTTTGAAGAATTCCGTACCTACGGTTCACAAGAAACTTCATATTCCATGAAATCCAATCACAGATAAATATCAGTTAGCTGGCGCCTCATCAGTCATTTATCGATGAAGCTACCGGATTCCGAACTCCAGGGAAGTGTAGAGCTGGCTATCACTCGGTCACGTTCCGCTGACGTCAGAACTTACGTCACCGACAGCCAGCCAATCCCAGCGGGGTAATGTGAGGCTCTGCTGGTCAGTGAATTTGTGTGGAATCTTTCTGGGTGACTTCCTATAGCGGATATTGGACTACCACCTATCACGGATTTTGGGCCACGACATACTGAACCTTGAATTGTTTCTTGTTTTTCTTTTGATATATACTCTTCTGCAGAAATTTAAACAAAGTAAATGCGCAATGCCATTATAAACGACCTTCTGGGCCATGCTCAATGTAAACTTATAATTCGCATTTACTCGTTGGGTCATCACAAGTTCGCCGTCCGAATCGTCCGAGTGTCCTATGTATCCAAATAATGCTCATGCTAGGCCATTCCATCGCGTTGCAAGAATCACAGCATGCATTGGTAACTGATGTTCCCTGCATTTCGCAGAATGATCAATGATATGAGTTTTTGTTATCGACCTCGTGCGGCCAAGCATTTCGCAGCTCACCGAAGATCACTGATGTACGTTGTAACTTCTTTGCAGCCAGGGTTCCACGCATTCCGTACCACTGCAGTGTGCACTGTGCACTTAGTGTGTACTGTGAAGTGATCATTTGTTCCTTCGTGTCTTGCTGGCTCCGCGTTGCAGCGCCCACTTAATCACATCTTTGCAGTGCTGCAATGATCACTAACTTTGGTTCGTTGCTGCTTTCATGCAGCAAAGTTTTTACGCATTCCCTAATATTCCAGTGATCACTGATGTGCGTGCTGCTTCCTCGTTCCCATGGCTCCCCACATTCCCTAGTATTGCAGTGATTACTGAATTGTGCCGTCATTTTTTATCCCATGCGGCGAAGGTCCTCGCACTCCGCAGTATCCTGGAGATCATCGATGTGAGTTGCTGCTTCCTTGCGTCCAAGGCTCAATGCAGTCCCCAGTATTGCAATGATCAGTATATTGATCACTGACGAGTGTTTTTGTTGCTCTGTTGCAGCCGAGGCGCTCCATCTGGCCTCCCTTCTCTGTCAGCACGGCTACTTCTTTCCTGTCGGCGACGCCAAGACTCTTCAGGTCAAAGATGATTCTTCTCTCTACCGTTTCCAGGTCAGTGACAGGTCATCAGGTCAATGGTGAAATAATATTCCTCTTTCTACCGTTTCCAGGTCATTGACAGGTCATAGATGAGAAACTGACACGGTCATTCTATAAAGCTTTCAACTCTTTCCTCTTTCCTTACATTTACAGTTAGCGACATGGGCTGGTTGGAGTACATACGCGTATCCTTTCTCATTGAAAACCAGGAAGTTGGCTGCTCTATCTTCAGAATTACTTCGGTAATATCACTGCAATAATGCAAAGTTCGTAATGCATAAATATTTATTTTTATTGCTTTACTTTTTCGATTTGACAACACTCTTTCCTATCTGATCAAAAATACGATCATTACTCATTAGCGTCCAATTACCCCTCAACGATAAAGCGCTCCTCAAACCTCGTAATCCCTCCAAGCTTTCGAATGTGATGGGGCGTATTTTCGTCTGGTTTATCCAGTGGCAGTCCGTGCGTGACTAGATATCATTGTGTGACCGAGCTGATGGCCGATTTCCAGCGGCCATCATTTAAACTGGCGCCGGATTTCAACTATAAAGCCATGTTCAAGGCGGCTCTTTTACGCTCCATTTCTAACGGTTTTTGTACAGCCGCTAAAGCTCGGCCACAAGAGTAATTTGGGGAAGTGGTGATTCGTTTTTGGGTCGTTTGTAGCGTCAAAGATATAGTGCTGAATTTAAAACGTGGCCATCTGTTTCGGCTGAGGGTTTCAAGCGATTCACGCTGCACGATATGGTGGTGTGGCACCAATGAGTGTGGTCAATGCCAATAGGCTTTTAGAGTGGAGACTGAAATTATAGTTAGCATCGTTTTTTCCATTCATGTTCCCATCACTTAGTGCATAACTGAACACCTACAAATGTTGAAATACGGCACCGATAACTTACATATGACATACGTTGCCTATTTACCACAAGAAAACAACAAATAAGCAAAATGCCGTCGATCCTAGCCCTCCCGAACAAATATTGACCATTTACGAGAACGGCTCTTGTCTGTTTTTCAGACTCCATACTATTGGCCCTCTCGAAATCACGTGCCGGACTCCACGGACTACGCCATATACCTCCACAAGAAGATCGCTAAAAACAAACAAAAACACGGACTCGAGGACTGTGAACTGGTAAGGGACGATGAGCTAAAAAAAAAACACACTTTTTGACGGGGCTTCAGGAGAAGCAAGTACAACTAAGCCATGATTTATTTGTTACGGAACGCTGTTCGTATAATTTGCTAAAATACAACGAGGATTTGCCCCAACACGTTCAGTTGGAGCATGAAGTCAACGAAAAAGCTCATACACTAATGCTTGTTTTTTTTTGCAATTGTGTGCTAGACGTCTCAAGTCAAGTAATTAACCCTCGCCCCGTTGGGGGGGGCGGCCATTTTGCCCCCCCCTGTGTTTTTTCCTGAATAGCAAGAAAACGGCGGCGCGCAGCGCCGCCAAATTTTCAGTACCTTACCGGGCATCAATTTGACACCTTCACACCAAATTTCAAGTCTTAGGTCACCTTAGGTCAGGAGTTATTGAGGTCAAACTGAGGTCATGTTCGAGCAAAAATGAGCAAAAAACATGCAATCTTGAAGCG